TGTGTGTGTGTGTGTGTGTGTCCTGTGATGGACCGCTGTCCTGTCCAGGGTGTGTGTGTGTGTGTCCTGTGATGGACCGCTGTCCTGTCCAGGGTGTGTGTGTGTGTGTGTGTGTGTGTGTACTGTGATGGACCACTGTCCTTTTTCTTCACGACCTCTCTCCCCCTCTCCCTCTCCCCCTCTCTCTCCCTCCCTCTCTCTCTCCCTCTCTCCCTCTCTCCCTCTCTCCCTCTCTCTCTCTCCCGGCTGTGTTTGCCTGTGAAATTCCTGCGTCTGTGTGGCGGTCAGCTGGGGTGAGACAGGCTCACCTCTGCAGCCTGCTGGGAATCTGGCAGGACTGTGTGAGGGCTGGGCCGGACAATGTGCCCCTTCTGCCCCTGTGCTGTTCCAGCCAGCGTGCACACCCCCTCCCCCCCTGCTGTTAACTAACACCCCCACTTTAACAACAGTCCTGCCAGAGTTACCCCAGTGTGTCTTCCTGTCTGACAGCTGGGGTTCTGTGATGGGCCAGACCTTGACCGGACCTGAGCCAGTGGACCAGCTGTCCTGTCCTCCTGGTCCAACAGGACTGGTCCTGAGCCAGTGGACCAGCTGTCCTCCTGGTCCAACAGGACTGGTCCTGAGCCACTGGACCAGCTGTCCTCCTGGTCCAACAGGACTGGTCCTGAACCACTGGACCAGCTGTCCTCCTGGTCCAACAAGACAGGTCCTGAGCCAGTGGACCAGCTGTCCTGTCCCCCTGATACACGCTGGCCTGTAAGAGGACTGTGTGATGATGATGATGATGAAGGTGCTGTCTGTTCCACAGGAGTGAAGCCCCAGACAGGAGGTGCTCTTGGAAGATTGCTCCTGCCTTCAGCAATGAGAGGTGAGACACCAGACTACAGCTGTGATCTCCTCTCTCTCTCTGTGCCTCCTGTCCTGTTGTGTGTTTATTACTGAGGGATTGTGTGTTGTTTGAATGTGTATTTCTGAATTACAGTGTTTATTATAGTGTGTGTCCTGCAGCTCTGTGCTCTTGTCTTTC